GTAGGGAAAAAAAGAAACAACAAAACCACCATATGTAACAGTAAGTAGTATTGGGCTCAATTCATAGGGGATTGTAATATCCCTGCATTTAAGGAAAGGAGGAGATGGAATATTGAAAAGCATTCTGCATGTAAAAAAAAAAAAATATAATAATTACTATTAATAGGCTTTTTAATAAGGCTTAGGAAGTTCCATTTAACATTTGAAAACAAAATTCAGTCCACAAACTAGCTCTAGCAAGATAGTAGTGCAAGAATACTGGGAGGAAGGAGGGGTGGAATCTGTGAAAAGATAAACAGATATTTTACTGAACATACACAGTCATATAAGAAGTATATTCTGATTTGATCTAGAGTAAATGAAGAAAACATTCTTCATGTGTATTTGGGCTGTTTTGATACCACGTAGTTTAATATCTGAATGTCAGAAGAAAACCATTTGAATTAAGATATAAAAATCTTAATTAAAATTACTAGTTGCGTGTTCAGTTGTTTGCTTAGGTTTTATAAGGTCTATACATCTGCATGCCTTTACACTTGCAGTTACACATAGTTTGCTGAAAACCTGAAATAATTAAATACTTTTCTACCTCCTATGTCTTATATTCCAGATAACAGTAGAAGAAAAAAATATGCTGTGCTGAAGGCAGCCCTTCTCTCAGGCATCTCAAAGCAATGTTCTTGTTTAATGCTTAATTTTATGGTTACTTTCATTAACCTGAGGAAGAAATAGATTCTAGAACTGTTCAGTCTTTGGAAAGAGGCTATTGTCACAGTACTTTTCTTAAGAAGTCCATAGAAAAAAAGCTTTGGAGTAAATCCTCCAAAACTAGACTCTCTTGGATTTAGAAACCAAGTTCAAAATAGTTCAGATAAATTTTGCATCAGCTTTTGAAGTTCTGGTTGCTTATCTAAATTAAACATTAATTCTGAAACTTTCAGGGGTTTTGTCTAATGTGAAACTTCTGGTTTGCTATGGAAATTTTTTATTAAAGGTATTAATAAATTCTATAAGATTAAAGATTATAAAGTACAGGCAAATTCACTGCGCACAATACGATGAAATAAGAAACTGATGCATAGTGATATGTTTTGGGAAATGTAATTGATATATTGTGCCTTGTGAAGTTTGTTAGGTTAACTCTATACCATCCAAGAAAAGGTATAGCCTAGAATACTGCTTCCGGAAGGGTTAATTGGGGTATCAAACTAATCGTATGTGATGAATTTCTACCCTTTTTTCTTCATAGGTAATCTCGGAATGCATTTCAGTCTCGTTAAAATATTTTACTTACATGTGACTGGGAAAGGAATGATAGTAAGCAAATGTTTTGATGTACAAATTCCTCATCTTTCTTTTATGAGACTTTTCATTTTAGTATTTACTACTGGCATTTCTTTGTGGTGGCCCACTAAGAAGCTTTCCGGTTTCAAACACTTGATGTTATCTCAGAGTCATTCCTATAAGGCTGAAGAGTTTAATAGTCAGGGCTTTTCCCCTAATGCTCACTATTATTGCTACTATTTTAATTTAGATCTCTAGATTAAATGCTGTGTGGTTTACAAAGTACAGTGAAGGACGCATCTAATGTCAGCATGACAAGAGCTAACAGTGTCAATGACATGCAAATTAATATAAGAAAAACTTTATCAGGAGGATGGCAGTAAATGTAGAAAGAAATCAGGTAGAAGTTTACATGGTCTTACACAGGTCTTTATAGCAGCACCTTTTCCCCACACAAAAGCTGTGAGTTTTAAAGCACAGTTTTGCATTCTCTCTACTGTTGCAGTAAAGTTTGTTTCATTGTTATAGTTATGCTGATGTAAGAAAACAAAAAAAAATTTTTAGTTGACTTCAGGCCTTTCTATCCATATTTTCTATTTGAGTATTGTGCTTGCCCATGAGATGTGAAAGCATTAAGATTTGTAATAAATGCTGTTTTACAAGGCTAAAATTATGCTTTTCATAATGAGTTCCAAAGTTAGATCCTTCCAGGAGCTTCTGCTTGTGTCACACCTTAAATTGACTCCACAGGAAGCCTATGAAGCCTTCTCTGCTTCCTGTTTTAGTGAAATGGTTACCTTACAATTTTCCAAAGACTTGTCACAAGTATGTCTTTCTGAAGTCTTAATCTCCCTTAACCTCAGTTCTGTCTTTGTTGAATGGGATAATTTAATGGTTAAGTCTGTTTTCATACCAATTCTTAATTTAGCTTTTAAGTGTATTTTTTAAGTAGCTCCTAAAGTGTATTTTCTTTATGCAAGCTTGTTTAGTATGGATCGTAAGTAGTAATATATAGGCATATGTAGGCTTGTACACCTGTTAGTGTTGCATTGTCTGCATAGCAAAGACAACCATGGAAGACAAAAACACAAATAAAACAATCAACAAGTACAGAAAAATCTTGGTTAAAAATGGAAATGTGCAAATTTTTTTATCCTGATAGAGATTTGAATTTACTTTTTTTCTGAAATTCAGTCTGTAAATGTGTGTCAGTCAGAGGAAGCTGACAGCTCTAAAAGTTGATGCTTTTCAAAGTTAATTATCTTTAATTGTGTCTTTGCAAAGCATGGTTTATAAATGAAATAATTTCCCATGAGTTGTTTTCTCATAGGGTATTTTTTAAAGTTAATCATCTTGCAAATATTCTAGTGGAGCAATCCAACAACCAGGACAAAAATCTGCATCCTCAGATTATAACTGTCATTAAGAAATATGAAAATGTGGACAACAATGAATGTTGTTTAGGTGGTTGTAGAAGACCAAGGCTTCATGGCTTAAGTATGGTCATGGGCGACCAAGGCTTCACTGCTTAAATCTAGACATTAAAAAAGCACTAATAGTTGTCAGTTCTTAAAGTATGTTTAAGTGCCTTACTGAACTTGGGTGTTATAACAATTTGTAACCTTAGAGACTACAGGAGCTAGTTACTATTGAAGCACT